CCAGCATGCCAGGACAATTTTAAGACTTTTAAAATAAAGATGGGAGGCCGGGCGCGGTGGCTCAAGCCTGTAATCCCAGCACTTTGGGAGGCCAAGGTGGGTGGATCACGAGGTCGAGAGATCAAGACCATCCTGGTCAACATGGTGAAACCCCGTCTCTACTAAAAAATACAAAAAACTAGCTGGGCGTGGTGGCACGTGCCTGTAATCCCAGCTACTCAGGAGACTGAGGCAGGAGAATTGCCTGAATCCAGGAAGCGGAGGTTGCGGTGAGCCGAGATCGCGCCATTGCACTCCAGCCTGGGTAACAAGAGCGAAACTCCGTCTCAAAAAAAAAAAAGATGGGAGTCTTACTATGTTGGCCAGGCTGGTCTTGAACTCCCAGCCTCAAGCTATCCTCCTGCCTCGGCCTCCCAAAATGTGAGCCACTGTTCCTAGCTCATGACAGTAATAATAAAAAAAAAGCAGAATGGCCTTCCTTCTGGGTCTGATATTCCCTCAGGCTAGACTGAGGCTGTGGTTTCTGGCAGAAGAGAGTCAGACGTGCTGCTGTGGTCTTCTCAGCACAGTGCATGAGGATTCAGTTTAAGTTTTTCTCCACTGATGACAGGTACCTCATTACTTGGCCACGCTGGTGTCTGCTGGCGTTTCCCACCAGAAAGTCTCAATTTTGCTCTTTGTAACTTGTAAGTACCCTGAAGAAAGGTGTTCACTCTCAGTCCTCCTCAAATCTCCACCTACCACTCTGAGCCTCCATTTATAGCTCACTCCTGCAACAACCTCACTACAGTCATTGATAAATTGTGATTTCGATTTTCATAATTCCTTCTCCATTTATGAGCTAATATTCTATTGAAAAGAGCTTCCCCTTCTCCACTATTATTTTCCCTGCATTCATCACTGGTTTGTTAATATACGTCATCAGTATGGACTCCACTCATGGGTTTCTATTTTGCTCACTCAGTGGTAATCTGCCAGTATCATTGGTACTGGGGTACCATTGCATCCAGATGCTCAGCAGACAGAACTATGTTACATGTAAATTTTCTGTGCCACCAAAGTAGCAGCACTCGAATATAAACTTCCTCAGCAAGGCAACTTACTTCTATAGAAGGGTGTGTCTCTCAAATGGAGCAATCGTGAGTGCACAACTAAAGGGAGGGGAAGGGGTTCTTATTCCTGATGCAGGTAGCCCCTACTGCTGTGCCATTCCAATATTGGCTAAGGTTAGACCACACAGTCTAAGCAAATTCCAACTGGCTACTTTAAAAAGAGTAGGGGTACAAGCCAGAGAGGCCGGGTGGGTAGTGTGGGTAACCCCACATATAGGCACCGAGGTATGAGAGCTAAGCAGAACCCTGGCACAGTTAGGGCTTGAGGAATATCTCACTTTATAGTGTTACTACTCAGCTATTTCCTTTTATAACCATATATTAGTTTATAGAAATATGGCTCCCTTTATATAATCCTCTCTATATAATCATATAATAGTTGACAGTATGAGTGCCTAAAGAATATTTCCCTACATATATACCTATAATTATATCTTAGTTCATAATTGGAGGAATACCTAGAGTGGACACAGTACAGAGTATGAATTAAGGAATAAGCAGCTTATAATTGGAGGAATGCCTAGAGCAGACAGTGCAGAGCATGATTTAAGGGAAAAACAGTTACACCAGGACAAGAATCCACGGCCCAGGCAGCAGCGTTCAGTATCGTAAAGATACCCACCGTATGGCAGGCATGGGGGCGAAAGCAGCCACTCCTCCTGATAAAGGAGTTGTAGGACCTTGCTCCAGTTCTTGTGGAAGGCTGCCCTCTGAACAGCAATCCACCTTGGTGACTGTGAACTTTATTAGCTCTTGCTACTGTGCTGCTCGAAAAGCATCTTCCCGTAGAAGCCATTGGAAGCTGCCAGAAGGTGGCAGTAACCTTGACAGCTCTGTCACTGCTGTGTGACTTAAAGCATCCTCCTATAAATCTTCTTAGAAGTAGTTTGCCCATAGATAGAAGTATCGCACACGGCACCCTCTTCACTGCGCACGGCCCACCTTCAAGCCTCGGTGACCTAATGGGGGTGGACCCCTTACTGCACACAGCCCTTTCCTTCATGGGAACGGGCCCCTTGCTGCGCACTGTCCACCTCCTGGCCTAGGTGACCTAATGGGGGTGGACCCCATGTTTTATTGCTCACAACCCTATCATTATCCTTAAAGATGATTTCACTCGCTGCCCTGCCCCCTAACCTATACACAATAAATACTCACGCTTCTGGACATTCAGGGCCTTGCCTGACTCCACTCTTACGTGACGTGGCCCCCCGAGCCCAGCTGTATTTTCTTTGTACTTCTGTGTCCTGTCTCTTTATTTCTCGGATCCTGCGCCTCAGCACAGCATAAGGCTCACCCCACGACCCTGTGGGGTCCCCAGCCCTACAGGTAGTTTAGCAGGAAGAACAGTTAGGGAACTAGTCAGAACAGACAACCAGAGCAGGTGACTGGAATGAGTCAGGACAGAACATGGGAACAGGGGAACCGATGTGAACTACTGATTAGAACTGCTGGGAAAGCTTGTTTGCTGAAACTACAAGGAAGCTAAACTTTAAAATGGAAAATTAAAGAATAAGAGAGATGAACATATTGACACACTGAATCATAGAAGAGAAACTTGGAGTTCACTATATCTAACAACTAGAAAAATGTGCTTTTATGCACATATACCTACATACATGCGCATACACATGGAACTATCTCTCTATATATACATAATTTAAAAAATGAGTTCACATTAACACTTCCAGTTCCAATCCAATACTTCAGTGTTCTTCTTAGCCTTCCCTCCTCCATATTTTTACCTTCTCCAACAACAGGAAACCTGGCTTTCACTGTCCCCATTATATTTAATGTGCGGTATAACCTCCAAAAGGAAGCAGTGCAGAGCATGTTCTCGCACACTCCACAGTGAGACGTATTTAAGGTATTGGGGAGGATCCAAAAGCAGGAGAAGGTAGCACTTTCCTCCGAAACCAGGAAGATTGGAACTTTGCAGTTGTGCACGGGAGCACTCGGAATGACTCTCCAGAGAAAACAGCACTTTTCCTTGTCTACAGACTTTTTCTTGTCTACAAGAATGAAAGATGGAGGGGTAATGAAAGGTCACAGGAGACTGAGGGGTATATTAGCAAAAATCTAAGAGCCAAGCAGGACCTACAGTTAGACGGACACTTACAAGATTGAGCTGCTGCAGGGCCTCACTTAGGCTCTGCTTTCTGCAGGCATTAACCACAGGGAGCGGCCGGAAGCCCCAGGCTCACACAGAGGGAAGCTGAGGACACTGGGGGCTGACTGGTAGGCAACATGAGAACTTCTCTTCAATCTAGTTTACATTGTTGGGTCAACCACCGGATGGCACATGGTACAGGATTTTTTTGTGTGGCTTATATTTACGCAAGTCTCTGTAGGATGTGATCCTACAACTTCCCAGTAGAGGAAAGTTGCAAAAGGGCTCACGTTCCCTTTCTGTGTCAACAAGGCAATTACCTGCTCTTGTGTTGAGACTTAGTTTGGAATGAAAGGTGGTGTTACGAGCATTAACCGGTTGCATATTCACAATCAACACAATTTGGTGCTGTGGCAAACCACGGACTGTGAAGAGTATGAAAAGGGAACCACTCCTATCCCTTGGTTGGGGTTCACCGCCCTTGCCCGGAGTCGAGTGTTTTATCTATGTGATATAATCTCCACATACATATGCACACAAAATTATGCAGACACAGGAACTAGGGGAGAGGGACGCCTGTGTAAAGGTGACCCTGCTTCGGGCCGTTTGCTTATTCATTCACTACTTGCCAGTGTCCTACTTCGTTACAAATTCACTAAACATTTCCTTGGAACGCACCGAATATGCTCAAAAGCAGTCAAGTAGGATGTGCTTTGCTACTGTTTGGCTTGAAGTTTCCCTGAAAAGACTATAAAACAAATACGACTCACTCGATGGTATTCACCGGAAAATACAGCGATCGATCAGCTGTGTTTCTGAGTTAACCGAAAAGTGATCTCAGGAAGGACTCACAGGCAAGGCCCACACCCGTCGTCCGGAACAGCTACCGACAGCTGCCCGCCACGGGGACGCGGGCGGCAACGCCGCGCGGGGCCCGGGGCGGGGGTCCCGAGGGTCCCCGGCGCCCCCGGCGCGCCTGCCGCTGTCTGCGCGGCTCTGCCGGCACCGCGCACGGAGGGCCTCCGGGATTCCAGGCGTCTCCGGTGCCAACGGAACCGTGTCCGAGCGGCCCGGCTCGCGGCCGAGCCGTCAGTGCCGAGAGCCCCGACGAGCGGGGCGGGCAGGGCCACGGCGCAGCGCTCTCCCTCCGGAACGCGCGGCAGCCGGATCCCGCGAGACTCCGCGAGAGCCACGACCTCGCACGCAAACCACGCGACCTCGCCCGGAAAACACAAAGACTCCCGCCAACAACGCCCGTCCGCCTCCGGCGGGTGGGGCCCTCGTCGCCGGTGCTCGCGGCCGCACAGCCGCCGCAGACGGGGCCGCCGGACCCCCGGCCCCCCGCCGCCCTCGCCGCGCTCAGCGGCCGCGCACCGCGCCCCCTGCCGCGCCCACCCTCACGCCTGCCGGCTGCTCCCACAGGCGGTCGGCCTTTGGGTTTGGCGACTTCCCGAGCTTCCGAGAGCGCAGCCACACACCCGGGAGCCGCCTCGGGAGTCCCAAGACGGGGCGCGACCCAGAGCCAGAGCAGCCCGCGGGCCCCGAGGCTACCGGGGAGTGGGGAGGGTGCCGCGCGCGCCTCGAAGGCGACCCCGCCTGTCCCCGCCCCGGGCGGCCGCGCGCCAATGGACAGCGCCCTGCCTGCCGACGCCGGGCGCCTGCCCCGCCCACTCCAGTAGTCGTCGGCCCTGCCCACGGCCCGCCTCGCGCGGTGACGTCACGCGGGCCCCGCCCACTCCCGGCGGCGCGCCCAGCCCCCTGCCCACGCTGCGCCCGCCCCGCGTGATGACGTCGCCGTCCCGGGCGGAGGCGGGCGTGCGGCGGAGCCGCGTCCCCTCAGAGGGGCGCCGGCGCGGAGCTGAGCCGCCCGGGATCCGCGCGAGCACGCAGCCCGCCTCGGCCGGGAGGGCGGCGCGGCACGGCGGGGCGATGAGCGGCGCCCGGGGCGAGGGCCCGGAGGCGGGTGTCGACGGGGCCGGGGGCCGCGCGGCGCCCGAGAACCCCGGGGGCGTGCTGAGCGCGGAGCTGCCCGGGCTGCTGGCGCAGCTGGCGCGGAGCTTCGCGCTGCTGCTGCCCGTGTACGCGCTGGGCTACCTGGGGCTCAGCTTCAGCTGGGTGCTGCTGGCGCTCGCGCTGCTCGCCTGGTGCCGCCGCAGCCGCGGCCTCAAGGCCCTGCGTCTGTGCCGCGCGCTGGCGCTGCTGGAGGACGAGGAGCGCGCCGTGCGCCTGGGGGTGCGCGCCTGCGACCTGCCCGCCTGGGTGAGTGCAGATCCCGGCCCGCCCTGACCCCTGACCCCTGGCCCCTGACCCGAGCCCCGGGCCGCGATCCCCCTCGTCCTGGCAGGCGCTCTCCTCCTGGCGGCCTGCCCGCCTGGGTGGGTGTAGACCCCGGCCCAGTCCGGGGCCCCTGTTCCCCACCCACCCCGGTGCAGGCAGGCGCTCCGCTGCCGCCTGGGCGAATGCACAGCCCTGCCCCGGCCCTCGGGCCCGTTCCCGCGACCTGCCAGCCTGGGTGCGGACCCCGCCCCGCCCCGGTCCCCGGCCCCCGGCCCCGGCCCCCAGCCTGTCGGTGCAGCCGCTCCACTCCCCGCGACCTGCCCGCCTGGGTGAGTGCAGACCCCAGCCCCTCCGCGGCCCCCGACCCCCTGCCTGCGAACCTGTCCGCCTGGAGCCGTCGCCCGCCGCTCCCGCCCGAGTCCTGAGCGCTTGGTGCCCTCCCGAGGTCCGAGTGGCGTCCCCCGTCTGCCTCCCCGCCTGCCCAGGCTCCGAGTCCGGGGCGCGTCTGCCCTGGCGAGGCCTCCCCTCGCCGTCCCACACATCTTCCCAGAGACCCATCCTCACAAAGCCCTCTTCCCTGTCCCGGCCCGCGGACCCCGCGGCAGGTACCGGGCATGGTGCCCCGTCTTCGGCCGCGAGCCTGCCCGGAGCGCGCGCTCTCTCTTGGCTTCCACGGGGTCTCCTTAGGGTCCTGAGCGCCAGTTCGGCTCTCGGAGCGCCCAGGGCTCTTCTCGTGCCGGTTCCCAGCGCCCTGCGAGCCTGGACATGCTCCTGTGGCTTCAGCTTTTCCTTCTCTCTGTTTTAATAAAATGTAATGACAGCTGGTGGGGGAGAAGTTAACTTTTTCTTCTAGTCAGAGAAAACTCACTCATGTCCTAGGTTGTTTCTGACGCAGTTCATGGGCAGTGAGTGACTCAGGAAAGAGGTGGAGATAATACATAATTGAAAGATTGTTTCACTTTTTTGCAAGTGTAATTGTGAGACCGAGCATTTTTATACAGGGTCGACCTGAATCCAGCGTGAATCTGTGTGCGTGTGTGTGTGGCAGGAAGCTTTGGGAGAGTCATAGTATTATTTTATTTTTAACTCCGGCAATTCTCTACCTCATTTATTTATGGACTACAGACACGAAGAGTTGGCTTCATATTTTTTTTTTTTTTTTTTTTTTTTGTCATTCCCTAATTCTTAGCCATGACTTGGCGTCACATCTTCACATTGCAAGAAATGGGATTTTAATGATGCTTCCGTTAGGCTTAATGTAAACTTTGGGGTGAAGGTGGCCAGCAATGGGTTTCGGAAAGGTCATCATTTTCCCTTAGAGGAGAAAGGGTCCCTGTTTCCAGTCAGGAGACACATGGGAAGTGAGGCATGACACAATGGCAAACAAGAATTAGAAAGTAGGCGTGCCCAAGACAAGAAGATAGTAGATGCTGCTTTGTGACGGCAGATTCCAATTGGAGTAAGAATACTAACAGTAGGCCGGGCGCGGTGGCTCAAGCCTGTAATCCCAGCACTTTGGGAGGCCGAGGCGGGTGGATCACGAGGTCAATAGATCGAGACCATCCTGGTCAACATGGTGAAACCCCGTCTCTACTAAAAATACAAAACATTAGCTGGGCATGGTGGCGCATGCCTGTAATCCCAGCTACTCAGGAGACTGAGGCAGGAGAATTGCCTGAACCCAGGAGGCGGAGGTAGCGGTGAGCCGAGATCGCGCCATTGCACTCCAGCCTGGGTAACAAGAGCGAAACTCCGTCTCAAAAAAAAAAAAAAAAAAAAAAAAAAAAAGAATATTAACAGTAAGGGGGCTTGGGAATTTACAATTCTGCCCTTGCGTGGTGAGCATGTGGGACAGTCGTATTTCGAGAACCAAAGTAACTGGCATGATACAGCTTTTAGCTAGCAGCAAGAAAAACCCAAGGGGCCTATAGAAAACAGGAAGTTTGAGGAGCCAAGGTAGGAAAAACCAAGAATAGAAGAGGTGCGCTTTGCAAATGCAAAAGGACTTTAATTAAAGTGGCGTTTCGTGTCTGTGTTACACTCAGATACATAATATTTGGAAGTAGCTAAAAACGGAGTCCATTACCATCCATTACCAAAACAGCAGCGTAATCAGTGCTGAAATTTGCAGGAAGTGATGATGCTGATTTTCATAGATACTTGGTTCATTGGCTAATATCAAATTTGCTTGTAAAAATCTTTGTGGGCCGGGCGCGGTGGCTCACGCCTGTAATCCCAGCTTTGGGAGGCCGAGGCGGGCAGATCATGAGGTCAAGAGATCAAAACCATTCTGGCCAACATGGTGAAACCCCGTCTCTACTAAAAAATACAAAAATTAGCTGGGTATGATGGCACGCGCCTGTAGTCTTAGCTACTTGGGAGGCTGAGGCAGGAGAATTGCTTGAACCCGCGAGGTGGAGGTTGCAGTGAGCCGAGATTGCGCACTGCACTCCAGCCTGGTGCCTGGCGACAGAGCAAGACTCCATCTCATACAAACAAACAAACAAACAAGCAAAACAGAACAAAATACTTTGTGAAATAGACTATTTTCTCATGATAAATTAACAGATGCAGTTGCTGCTCTATTGAAGAACTGAAAATCTTTAAAAAAAAAAAAAAAAGTACAAAAGTAATTTAGCCGAAGAATCTTCTTGAGTTCTTTATCTGTGTGACTTCAACTGATGAATCATAATGTTCATCTGATGAAGAATTTATACTTTCTTGTTGCCCAAGCTGGAGTACAATGGCATGATCTCAGCTCACTGCAGCCTCTGCCTCCCAGGTTCAAGTGATTAACCTGCCTCAGCCTCCTGAGTAGCTAGAACTACAAGCGTGTACCACCATGCCCACCTAATTTTTGTGTTTTTAGTAGAGACGGGGTTTCACCATGTTGGCCAGGATTGTCTCAATCTCTTGACCTTGTTGTGATCCACCGCCTCGGCCTCCCAAAGTTCGATTACAGGCGTGAGCCATCACACCCTGCCAAAAATTTGTATTTTCTCCAGAATGTTTTTCTTGTTTATTCCAAATTTGTACCTGAGCCCATACCACACATGGGTAGACTTCAATGTGCCTGTGTTGCTTAAGACAGTTCTTGAAGGATTCACATGTAACTTGACAGTGATTATGTTCGGAGTTTTAGAGAGGTTTTTAAAGTATCTTTTAAATTGGTTGGGCATGGAGGTGTGCAGCCTGTAGTCCCAGCTACTTGGGAGGCTGAGGCAGGAGAATCACTTGCAGGAGAATTGCTTGAACCTGGGAGGCAAAAGTTGTAGTGAGCCAAGATCCTGCCGCTGCACTCCAGCCTAGGTGACAGAATGAGACTCAGTCTCAAAAAAAGAAAAAAAAATAATTATATATATATGTATCTTTCAGTTATACTATGTATTTTATTATGTTTATTAAAAGTGTAATATATTTTATTTTAGTAATAAAACCAGCAGGTTGCATGGTCTCAAAGTGTGCCTGAAATTGTGCTGTGCCGCAGGGGTTGTGAAGGTGGTCAGAGCACATCAATGATAGAAGAAACCATGAATAAGGAAAGTTAAGGTTTCAATTATTACTTGCACTTTGGGTTTGTTTTTTGTTTTCTTCTTTCTTTCTCTCTTTCTTTCTTTTTTCTTTTGTTTTCTTTCTTCTTTTTTTTTTTTTTTTTTTTTTTTTTTTTTTTTTGAGACAGCATTACACTCTTGTTGTCCAGACTGGAGTGCAATGGCACGATCTCGGACATCCCTCCTGGGTTCAAGCGAATCTCCCGCCTCAGCCTCCTGAGTAGCTGGGATTACAGGCATGAGCCACCATGCCCTGCTAATTTTTGTATTTTTAGTAGAGACAGGGTTTTGCCGTATTGGCCAGGCTGGTCTCGAACTCCTGACATTGTGATCTGCTCGCCTTAGCCTCCCAAAATGCTGGGATATTAGGCGTGAGCCACTGTGCCCAGCTGTTTTCATTTTTCTAAAGATGAGTTCTTACCATGTTGTCCAGGCTGATCTCAAGCTTCTGGCCCCAAGGGATCCTCCCACTTAGACTTTCTAAAGAGCTGGGATTACAAGTGTGAGCCACCATGCCTGGCCAATTTTGCTGGTACTTTGATTTTTACTGTACATACATAGATTCTTGGGGTTTCTGAACTTTGGGCTGGTGTTTTGCCTTGAACGGGAATGTGTTTGTACATTCCAAAGACGATACTCATCTTCATACTGTATTGTTGCCAACTGTGAATTCATAGCAGAGTGGAAACATAGGAAAGCATGAATTAATGAGATAAGTGATTGCCAAACCTCACCTTTGGATATAGTCACTGACAGCTTTTCTTATTTTTTCTGAGTAAAAACTTATGCTGGATATGGAAATGAGATAGAGTATTAATACTTTGAGAAAAATTATATACTTTTTTTTTTTTTTGAGATGAAGTTTCGCTCTTGTTTCCCAGGCTGGAGTGCAATGGCGCGATCTCGGCTCACCGCAACCTCCGCCTCCTGGGTTCAGGCAATTCTCCTGCCTCAGCCTCCTGAGTAGCTGGGATTACAGGCACGAGCCACCATGCCCAGCTAATGTTTTGTATTTTTAGTAGAGACGGGGTTTCACCATGTTGACCAGGATGGTCTCGATCTCTTGACCTCGTGATCCACCCGCCTCGGCCTCCCAAAGTGCTGGGATTACAGGCGTGAGCCACCGCTCCCGGCCTATATACTGTTTTTTATTGAGACTATTAGGATATGAAAAATGGCTCTCACGTAACTGTGATAATTCTGTAGGAGTTTGGTCCTACAACTTTAATATAAACAGTATTATTATTCTTCACTTGTTTTCCCATAAACAGTTATGTTGCAGCCGTTGAGGTTAAAGGCCTGGCAGGCCTTTCAAAGATGAATTGAGGACAAGGCTTTTTGTTAAGTGTCTACCCTGTGTTAATGGGCCCTGGACAATTAGACTACTTTGGATGAAGGAAGAGAAGATTTTTTTTCTTATTTATTTTTAGT